AGCACGAAAACACGATGGGATTGAGACATGACGAGTGGATGTCGTAGTCCTCGCGCACCGAACAACAAGTCACTTATGTGCGAACCTATACTCGGTTATCAGAGCCCCATCAGCTGGTCTCATATTCGGGTTTATGACGTGAAGAAGTGCGTTTTGCCTTGGGATTGGGTGACCGTTAACGGACGCCATTCCCCGCGACACCTATCTCGTCGTCATGATTGGTCCAAGGTGGGGAAGGCGATCAACTCAGCTCGAGACTTTGAATGATACTCGGCGAATTCCCTAGAAATAGATTGGAGACGGCACATACACCGGCCCAGACCACAAGAATCACAATATGGGTGTAATATTCACGCATAGTCGTATGGTGCCGTTCGTGGCGTGACTCCATCTCCTTGGATGTAATTCTGATAGTACCATTGATTCCAGAAACGGCGCTATGTTGATACACGATTTCCGCACATAGCTCACCAGGGTCACACTTAGGGGTGAATCGTCACCACTCCGCTCGTTACCTTCTCCATATGCGATGAAACAATTGCAGCGAACAGTGACATCTATTCCGAATTCGCAACAATTCATCGTCTCGAAAAGGTCTAGTGTGCATCAATCCAACCTAGTCGGGTGTCTGTCAATGGCGCCCTATGTGGCGTTGAGCCGGGCGGTTATGCCCAATAAATGACGGACCGGTGGCCTGGGCGTCGTCCACTCGGCTTTGGCCGTAAAAAGGATGAAATTTCATCAGTTAATTTGACAGATGGGCTCAGCGAAGTCTGTAATATCGGTGGTTTTTATTTGGTCGACTTTGGGGTTGGGGACCGGGTTGGGGACCGAGCTCCTCTCCCCACCACTATGCAAACCATGCCTCCTTGGACAAAAATAGGTGGGCTTTCTGAAATCCTGATTGCGTGATCTAGGCCATTCTCGAGGGCCTTTGAGTATTTAGTTCACAGGGATACGACCGTAGAGACTCTGCCAGCATCAAGAACGCAAGACGCATATTCGTTTCATAAGGAGGACCACCTGGGTGCGTGTATCTATCCTCAGTATATTCTGATCTTTTCTTCAGAGATGGTCTCTCTTCTTTTGAGCGACGAAAGAGTTTTGCAACATGGACAGCGATCACCAGACATAGCGCAGAGCACACCGTCCCAATTGAAACTATTTACCAATTTACGCAGTCGAGCCCCAGTATCGTATCCCATCAATGGGAAATTGGGAATCATATACAGCTATGCATCTCGATCAGGGATCGCGTCACAGGGTACCACCTTATGGTATTTCGCACTGGTGATTGGCCAGGTGAGATAGAATTGCAAAAACTCAGACGCCTCACACTAGTATTAGAGATGTACAGAGAACAAAGACAACCCTTCCTTTTTCGACGAGATGGCTGAAAATGTACAGGACAATCATTCTACTTATTACTCAACGCATTAAGAAAGATGACTTCCTCGCCTCCAGCAACACGGAATTTAGGGTGTTCCATAAAGTCTCTAGAGCCGTCTCCTAGGATCTTGAACTGCTCAGGGTCTTTGATGTAGGCTTCTGCGGCTTCGACGGAGGGGAATACGGTGGTGGCAATGCCATCATAGTCGAGGGTATGGGCATCGTCCTTGTACATGGCTTGGCTGACTACATTATTACTGCCACGATTCACATATGTCTGGGTTTATGTTAGCACTCGATGTAGGGATTTCTTTGAAGAAGAGGATGGGTCAATATCGGTAACGTAGGGTACTGTTCGAAGGCTATCCGATAGCAGTCTCCTTTTCTCGGCACCCAAGCAGCGTCAGTAGAAAAGGGATATTGAACCATATTTCTTATGAGAAGAAGAGGAGGAGAGACGAGCGGGGCAGGATGAGCGAGATGAGGGGTGGGATGGGTACGTACTTGGGAGTAGAATAAGGCCCCATGCTTCTTCATCAAGGGTACGAGTCTAGGAGCTTGCTCTTTCTCCCAGCTCCTTCTAAACTCTTCTTCAGAGACATTCTCGGCTTTTTTGATCAGAGCAAAGACGCGGTAAGTTTGGGACATGGTGGATGGCTGACGGTTTGGGGTTCACCTGGGCCTTGCCCGGCCCAAAGCCCCTCTTCTTTTATACCACTTCCTTGGCCTACTACCTGATCCGTATCGATAGCCATGAGTATAGACATCTTACCTCAGGGGAGCGTTGTTCGAGTAGGGATTGGACGATCAACCCAAGGTATGACCTCTAGTCAGGCATCCAATACTTGTGATTGGCCCCACCAAGGAGCGAAGTATGAAGAGAGAAGGGCCAGTGGCCTTACTCTAGAATTGCGAGACACGCGTCGGCGTCTAGGGTTGGACATACTAGCACTAGGAGGTCGTAAGTCATCTCGGCATCTGTCACACTTTACTTTTGTATGTATATGTAAACCAGTACGGCGTTCATCGTCGTCTCTTAATTGGAACGAGAAGAAATGGGGGACTCAGGTGGTGACGTCTTCTGGTTACATCGCCGCGAGGCTCCTCCTTTTTGCCAAGACAAAGTGGTAGCGAAACATACAAAATTTGGCTAAATTACTGGAATACTGTGAATGGTAGGTGTTATGAGAGTGATCCGAAACTTAAGCGAGCACGGCCCAAGATAAATTCCGGTGAAGCCACGTATTATTGCTGCAAAACCGTACTCGGACGAACAAAAAAACAAGGTGTAGAACGAAACAGAAATCAAATTGGTTGTAGATAACTCGATAAAGGGAGTCCGAATCACATTTTATGATCTAATACAATCTCTTCCCTTCCCGCGGCGAAACAGATTTCCCCTGTTTGTGTAAAGATAGGAATATCGTCTCTGACGGCTGCTTTGTACTCTGGGTCGTTCGAATAAGCTTGAGCCGCTTCGAGGGATGGCCAGTCGATGGTGATGACTCCGTCATAGTCGAGCAATTTCGCCTTGCCACCCAGGCACGCGTTATTAAAGGCCTCTTTGTTGGCCTGGCTGATGTGCGTCTGAGAGTACATCGTGAGCAAGTTGTAACACAGTGACAACGGAGAGTATACGGACCTGAGAGTAGTACAAGGCTCCGTGTTTCTTGAGGAAGGGGAGGACGAGGGCACCGTGCACCTCCTTCCAGTGCCGGACAAACTCTTCGTCAGAGATGCCCTCCTTTTTCTTGAAGAAACCAAGAGCTCTGAAGGGTCTAGCGGGCTGCGCCATGGATGTAGACGAGTGCAAGTGGGAGAAGAGGACAGGAGGCTGGCTAGCTTGTAGTCTGATTCAAAAGTGCCGTCGTCCATGCTAGACCATATATATGCATTCCGGGGCGCTGAGTCCATTAATCAGATGAGCATCGATCCGCCTTTCTGGTCGCCATCGTCCGGCACACTTTGAACAGCTAATAGCGGCATTCCCGGCCCCAGGAACATAAATAAGCATCCACAGGAACGCTGACTGATGAGAGGCTATTGATGTCCATAGTGTTGGAACTCATATGACTGTTATCCTAAATTCCCCGAAAAAGAGGTTAAAACGGTCCTATGGTGTCGGCTGACCGATTAGCGAAATCGGACACTTAAACGCGAATGGTTTAACCTTTTTGGGGCATCGGCACCTTGTGGGGGTCAGCTTGAAAAATG